GTAGGAAAATTTTACCTGAAATTTGAACTTCAATTTTAAAAATTTACCTGAAGTGTAATAATTATAATAAAGCTTTTTTTATTGATTTGCTTTAGGACTGCATTTCTGGCGTTTTCTAAAGCAAATTCGCAAACGAATTGGATGTAAATTGACAAAAATGGTTATCATTTCACAAAAATAATTACTTTATTACGAAAATTTTACCTGAAAATGTCAAAATTTTAACTTGAATTTTACCTGATTTTTGCCTGAGTTTCACAGAGATTTTACACCCGTTTACCTCGATCTATATTTTATAGAAAGTCTCGGTAACTCATATCCATGTTACTATCTTGTGCTGAATTTGCGAGATTTGTTTCTTTATAAAATATACAGTGAACAGAAACCGAAAAATGCAAACATCTTGAAAAGCCGAGATAAGGATTAAAATATGCACTGACCCTATACATGGCAAACAGTCTACTTGAAGTTTGAACAGTTAACGAGGTCTTATACTAGTCCCATAACATGTTTTTGTGTGTGTGCTTTTGTTGTTGTTTTGTTATTATTTTATTTTTTTATTATCCCGGTCTTCATATCCCACGTCAATTTTCAGCAGATGTATTAATAAAAATAAATTTCCTTCAAGCTTTTTTTTAAATATAGGGGGTCCAACCACTGAGCTGTATAATACCTGGAGGACCTACTCCTATACTTCGTTCAGTCAACGAAGTGTCGCCAAAAACATGGCGGATTTTCAGGCAAAATGACGCCATTGCCATGACAACACTTCCGAAATCCTCATGGTAGTTACCACTGACCTGGCTCAATATTGAGCCCACGGCAGTTTTCACCCCCATCCCCCTGGTTTTTGCAAAAAATTTTGCAGATAATATAGTTCTCGTTGTTTTGAATCGGTTTTTAAATTTTTTTCGATATAAATTTTCTACCTTTGACCATTTGGACAAAGATATGCAAGTCGTTCGCCCGTGAAAGACGACAAACAAATTTTAAAACCTCAAGAAATGTGGGAAAAGACGAGATTTGAATATGGATTTACAAAGGGTAAGAGACGTATTTTCATATTCAATTTTATGTACCCTTTATCTTATTTGACATGATATTGATAAGTATAACGATGAAAATGACACTCTATTTGTTAAGGAAACAGCTTACAGTGGAATACACAAGGGAAAGTGTAAAATTTTCCACTACTTTAGCAAGCTGTGATTCACAATCGCAAATATTTGGTTACAACCTACGAAGCTTATTAAAATGAATTCAGCCACATATACGAGTAATACGACGTTGGAAAGGTTGACTCTGAGGTCTTGTTTTGTAAACAGACATAAACTATGATCATGTGATGTACCATAGACTATCTTTTTAAACGAGGGATTTAGGTTTTGTGTTATGTACCAACTTTAAGAAGCTGGGGGTGCTGGAAGCTGAGCTTTCTGGTTGGGGATACTTTTTGATTTTTGTGTCATTATAGAGGCTTGAGATAAATCACACTTTTCCCTAAGCTGAGCTGCTGAGGTTTAAGCTGATGTGTGTGCCAAGGCGCTATGCATGTGTGATCACAGCTCATTCCCAGGATGGCCTGTTTTCTTACAGGTTTTCGCAGTAAATATATATCACTCTGAATAAACAATGTACCTTTATATTAAGTGCACTCATAGTTCTGATACCCCTGGTTTAATCTGAGGAGTTACGTCACATTCTTTTGTTTACCTTGCCCTTGGTCATATGCTAATTATGTTACTGGTGGATAATTGTACAACCTGTATAATTAAATATCTATTCTTGTTTATTGCAGAGTTATTCCACAATGACACACCCCTTTCTGGGTGGAAACTGAACATACAATTAAAGCTTGATAATTTCGAACAATTGTATTTTAATACATGCTTTCAGAAAGTATATCACCTTTGTTATAGGCTGTAGAGTCTCATTTTCATGATTGAGACATGTCAAATACACAAAGACGAGGCTCCATGGCCAAAGTGAGATACTTTCTGGTAGGATGTACAGTATTTTACTTTTTTGTAGACTTATTACAAGCAGTAAACAATTTAAAAAACAAAAATGTATAATTTTAATTCTTCCTAATTTAGTGGAGCACATGTGCTCTGCTAACTTTACACTTCAATAAAGTTATCATAATCATATAATTATTTATTATGTTGTTATGGTATTATAATTATAACTTCATTTTGTTGTTCTGCATGTTTTCCATGTTGATGTCTGTGTCATCTCTTGTGTTGCATATAAACAGATCCAGCACTCTCCCCTTGACTAGTAAAATTGTCTGACGTTAGATAGATTAAATTAATACAGTAATTAGGCATATCAAGACACATTGCCACTCGAAGGGTTAACATGTGTGTGTGTGTATATATATATATATATATATATATATCTATATATATATATATATATATATATATATATATATATATATATATATATATATATATATATATATATATATATATATGTGACAAATGCCAGTACTCTGCTCAGCCGACAAGACTTCATATGTAACAAACAGAACGGCTACGTTTGAAGAAGTTTATTAAAAAAAGGTATATTAAATACAAAAACTAAATTTTCGGCTGCATGCCACACTCTGAAGAAGGCTGTGGCATGCAGCCGAAAATTTAGTTTTTGTATTTAATATACCTTTTTTTAATAAACTTCTTCAAACGTAGCCGTTCTGTTTGTTACATATATATATATATATATATATATATATATATATATATATATATATATATATATATATATATATATATATATATATATATATATATATATATATATATATATATATACGAGTAGGTTTGTGTATACGAAACGCAAAGAGTGCTCAATATCATAAAGATAGAGCAAATGTAGAATTTCGCTTACCTCAAAATTCCGCAACAGTCTGTTTCATCAGTAAAGAATCATCAGGCGGTATCAGATACCGCCTGATGATTCTTTACTGATGAAACAGACTGTTGCGGAATTTTGAGGTAAGCGAAATTATATATATATATATATATATATATATATATATATATATATATATATATATATATATATATATATATATATATATATATATATATATATTGTTATTATTGTTATTATTATTATTATTATTTAAAAATATTTTAAAACGGTAGCTCTTCAGGGCTCGTAAGCACCTGTTTTTCAAGAGGCCGTTTATTACAAGTATTTACAAGCTATACATATAATAACACAAATATATACACAAAAACAGAGAAAACATAACGAACTTAATAATTGCATGTATGTACTACATTTGTTTCTGAATATATCGATTAATGTCCAATACCCATGCAAGATGTCCAATGGAAAAATTGGCAGATAATGTATTTAACCCACTGAGTGGTAACAGCAGTTTGTAGTATTTGTAGGATGCGATAAGTTAATAATTAACTTCTATAAAGCATGTGACAAACGTTGATTGACATTTGTAATAAATTTGTACTGAATAATGATTCTGTCTATTCTACAATGGCGACGAGGATGTAAAAATAAACAGCGTGAAAAATATAACGGAAAACTAGAATGGCGGCACAAAACATACAGCCTATGCCTGCTTTTGAACCAAGGAGTGATCCTGCAAGTACAAGTGCGAGATGGACACGATGGCTGGAGAGATTCAACACATATTTACTTGCAGCAGATATTAAAGACGATGCGAGAAAGCGAGCTTTATTATTGTATCAGGCGGGGCCCGAAGTACACGAAATTTTCAAGACTCTAGAAGAGGGCGAAACCAAAGATTTTAAGTCAGCAGTGAAAGTGTTGACGGAATATTTTGAACCAGAGAAAAACGTGATATATCGCACCTATGTTTTTAGACAAGTGACGCAAGGCAAAGAGGAATCAATCGACGAATTTCATACGCGTTTACGAGGCTCGGCAAAATGGGCTATTACATTAAAAAACCAACCCCCCCCCCCTGTCGAGGACCTCTGCTTTTGGGGATTTTTACCCCTCTGGAATGCAAAAAAATCTGTGTAATTGACCCCTCTGGAAGAGACTTGAACCCCCTCTGGAAGTGCTTTTTTGCTTTTTAACCCCTCTGGAAAGAGGATTTTTCTTCCATTTTTCCCAATTACCCCTCTGGAAAAAATGACTAATTTCCCCCTTGGAAAATGAGGTCCTCGATAGGGGGGGGGGGGTACGGATATTAAATGTAATAGCCCAATACTGCGAATTTACAAACATAGATTTTGAAATTAAGATGCAGATTGTTACGAACGGCACTTCTTCAAGATTACGAAAGAAAGCACTACAAGACCCAAAATATAGTTTGGCAAACATGTTAATCGATGGACGAAAATACGAAACTAGTTCAGCTCAAGCCGTTGGGATCGAAGAACAATTCAAAACAAGGGAAAATATAAATGCAACGGCTATGGCAACGCCCACTGAGAAAAAGTGTTATTACTGCCGTTGCAAGTATCCACACGACAATCAACCGTGCCCAGCGAAGTCTGCTATTTGTAACCACTGCGGAATAAAGGGACACTTCGCTAAAGTATGTCGAACACGAGGAAAATCTTTCGCAAGTAAGGGAAACCTTGAGAAATTACAAACGCAAGGTTTTACCTCCCCAGACAAAAGGCGCCAATCACGATGGGATGAGAATAAACAACGAAAACAACAAGCAAAGGTTGTCGGAATATCACAAAGCGAATCAAATACTGAAAGCTCGGAAGACGAGGATTATGTTTACACAGTATCGCAAGAAACGAGAGAGAAAACACACACGACCGTAAAAATAAATGGACAGGACGTTTTATTTTTGGTTGACACTGGCGCGACTGTTGACATCATTGATTCTACGACATACGCGAATTTAAAGAGAAAAAGTTAATTATACGTAAAAGTTCAACTAAAATCTACGCATATGGATTTCACACACCTCTGCCTCTAAACGGATCGAATCGAAAAAGCGTTATACCGTGTCGCAAATATATGTAATAGACGGTGCAGGAGGAAATTTACTAAGTGCTAAAACAGCCCAAGATTTGGGCTTGGTCCAGCTAATTCACACAATTTCCGGTTTCCTGAACAAGATAAACAAACAAAGAAAGACAAAACAAAACAATACCCACAGCACTGCATGCGAGACCAATCCAGAAATCAACACAAGTGTTCCTCAATCAAAAGACCCAAAAATACAAGAAATCATAAACAAATATAGTACATTTTTCAAGGGGCAAGGAAAATTAAACAATCAACAAATTAAACTTCATATCCGAGACGATGTCAAACCAGTTATGCAGCGGCAAAGACGTATACCATATCATGTGAGAAATGATGTTTCTAAGGAACTAAAGAAACTAGAAGAGCAAGACATTGTGGAGAAAGTCGCCAATCAACCAACACCATGGATATCTCCAATAGTCGATCGTCACGCCAAAGAAAGACGGAGGTATTAGACTATGTGTAGACATGAGCGAAGCAAACCAGGCAATCGAAAGAGAGAGTTACACAATGCCAACTTTACAAGATTTTAAAGCTGACGTAAACGGAGCAAAATTCTTCTCAAAGATTGACCTAAAGCAAGCATATCACCAGCTCGAATTACACCCGGACAGTCGATTCATTACAACGTTTCTACCCATGAAGGACTGTTCCAGTATAAAATATTAAATTACGGTACGAACAGTGCAGCCGAGATATTCCAAAATGTGCTACAACAAAACCTTAGCGATATCAGAGGAGTGAAAAACCTGGTGGATGATATTATTATTCATGGTAAAACCCGAAAGTCACACGATGAAGCACTAGAGAACTGTCTAAAACGGCTAGCAGCACTAAACTTGAAAGTGAAAGGGGGAAAATATGAATTTCTACAAGACGAAATTACGTTCTTTGGATTAAAATTTACAGCAGCAGGAACCAAACCAGATCCAGAGAGAATTGAGAACATGGTTAGAGTACCAGCTCCCAAAACTGCTGGAGAAGTTAGAAGTTTTCTGGGAATGGTCAACACACTTGCCACGAATACATTCCAGATTATGCAACTATTACAGCACCTCTAAGAGAACTAACCAAGAAAAACATTGCGTTTAAGTGGAAAAATAGACATCAGAAAGCATTTGAGCAACTGAAAAAGAAACTAACAAGTACCCCAGTTATGGCATATTTCGATACAAAGAAACGAAGTCTAGTAATCGTAGATGGCTCCCTTATGGAATTAGTGCAATACTAGCACAGAAAGAACATCACAGCCAGCAGTACAAAATCCCATTCATATGCAAGCAGAGCACTCAGCCCAGTTGAGACAAGATACTCTCAAACAGATATTGAAGTACTTAGCTTAGTATGGGGAATTGAGCACTTTCGAATGTTCTTGATTGCATCAGAATTCGATGTGATAACTGATCATAAAGCATTAGAATCTATATTCAATAACCCAAGATCCAGACCACCAGCCCGAATCGAGAGATGGATGATGCGATTACAACCATTCAACTTCAGAGTCATTTACCGCAAAGGATCCTTAAACGAAGCTGACTACTTAAGTCGACATCCAGCTGTCATAGAGAGAGAACAAATAACTAGTACATCAGCAGAAGAATATGTGAACTATGTAACTAACTGTTCAGTTCCAAAGTCAATGACACTTGACGAGATTAAAAAAGCAACCCATAACGATCCAGTATTACAAAAAGTTAAGAAATGTCTGAAAGAGGGAAAATGGGATGAGAACGATCCTGATCTTAAACCGTTTAGACTTTGCGCCGACGAACTTAGGGACCATTCATTATTTATGACCGGGGGTGGGCTGGCAAAATTCAATTACCAAGTAAACAAAATGTGCTGCCCCACCCCCTGTATCACAAAAAAATTCAATGACCCCCATCACATGAATTCTAAAAAATAGTAAACCCGCCGTAGGAAGCTACCAGTGCCGTAGGAAGCTCTTTTTAATTGGGGAGGCGAAAGCGAGGGCCAAAGGCCCGAGGAAATTTATAAATTTAGGGTCTCTGAAATGCCATTTCCTGCACTTTTGGGAAGATTTGACAGAATTCTGATGGTCAGAAAACAGCATTTTAGTATGTCGAAATTTACAATTTAGTAGCACTAAATGGGCGAAGGCGTATTTTAATTAAATATATATTGGATAAGTTGCAGGAAAGTATGAGAAATATCTTCATTCTTTGCAGTTTGTCATGGGTAATGTAGCCGCTTAAAATTAATCAATTGTCAGTATTTTAAAGGTATATTATTTAAGTGATAAAGGTCTGCATGATTTTGGAAAAAGAATGATTATTAGCAAATTATTCGGGGGGGGGGGGGGCTGCAGCCCCACCAGCGCACCTGGTTGCTATGGCCCTGAGTTAGGAGTAGCGTTAGGGTACTACGTCAATGAACTACAAAGACAGCTAAACAGCTACGGCATTTGACTCGGGCTCAGATTTGACTCAGACTTGACACGGTAAACCGACAAACTCCTTACTAAATTAAACCATGTACAAAATACCTAGTATAAACTAGTGTATATAATATATGCCAAAGTTTCCCTGGACGTAATGTTGCTACATCGCCTACTTGTTACTTATCTTTTTTATTAAAATGTACATAATTGAAATATGACAAAAATTTATGGCAAGTTCATGGCAAAAGTTATAAAGGTAGATGTTCGATTATTTTTCATGTTAGCTGTGCGCATTGCATTTTGGGTATTTGTGCATTGCATTTTGGATCTATCTGTTGATTAAAATTGATTTGCTAGCTATACATGAATTAAATTTGCTGCCTTGCTCGCTCCCTGTGGTAGCAATCGTTACATGTCAAATTTTTCTCCACTATAATATCACTTAATAAATAACTGGACCCCCCCTTTTTGAACCAATATTTTTAGGTGACCCCCCTTTTTCGGTCAAAAATACCTCATGACCCACCCTCTTTTTTTGCCAGCCTACCCCCAGTCATAAATAATTAATGGTCCCTTACGTACAATGCATCAGCATGTATACACTGTAAATTTCAAGGAGTTGAATCAACTCCGCCGAGTGTTATATTCTGTCAGCAAAAACGATGACAGAATAACTCTTTTAGAGTTGTTTCAACTCCTTGAAATTTACAGTGTACTGTTGAAGAACACACGGCTGGTCATTACAACAAACTTAGGTCATATCGGGCATCAGGGAATTGAGAAAACGAAAAGCCTACTACGCGAAAAGATCTGGTACCCAAATATGGACAAATGAGTGAAAGAAATGGTAGACAAATGCATTCCTTGCCAATTAGACGGCCAGCCAGCCGATCAAAATATGACTGTCGATGGCATTTTTTGTTACAAGCAAACAACAAGCGTTTTCTTATAGCTTAGACACTGGTGAGTCACGTTTGATATGTTGCCACCTCTGATTTTAACGAACGAAGAGAAAATTTTAAGGATTTGAACAGTTTGCCTATTAAATTATTATACTCCCGAAAAAATGTGAAATTTGAATTTCACTTAAATTATCATCGTTTATATCGTTAGAAAGAGCATAAAAAAGTAATGCGGTGAATGACGTCACAAAACCTGTTTTTTAGCAACTTTTATAAGCGCCCGTAACTGAAAACAGGGTTATAATTCGCACTTCTCACTTAAATGTTCTATATCTACTTTTTTCCGAACTTTCTGATTATATAGGTGATTTTTGCTGAAAGTTGGTTTCAAATTTCATAATTTAGTGAGTATAGTAATTTTAATAGACACAATTTTCAGATTCTCAAAATTTTTCACTTTAAAGTCAATATCAGAGGTGGCAACCTATCAAACGTTCTCCAGTGCCTAAGCTATACGAAAACGCCAGTTGCCAGCTTGTAACAAAAAAAATGCCATCAATGACATTTTAGAGACACTTTTATTGAGGTTGGCTGGCCGTCTAAATCAGTAGGTCACGGTAATAACCCGGAGCCAATGAAAATAACACCAACCGAAGACAAACCATGGACCAGTGTAGCAATCGACTTCTATGGTCCAGTACCCCAAACTGGTCATTACCTGCTAGTGGTTATCGATACCTACTCAAAATTCCCAGAGGTAGAAATAGTCAACTCAACCGAAGCAAAAACTTGCGTACCAAAATTAGATACGATATTTGCCAGATATGGAATACCATAAAAAACAACTGACAATGGACCCCCATTTAATGGAAAAGAATTTGAAACATACGCTAAAACCCTTGGTATTGAATGGAAAACAATTACACCACTATGGCCCCAGGGTAATGCCGTCGTAGAAAGATTTATGAAATCAATTGGAAAACTCTTGAAAACAGAAAAAAATTGAAGGAAAGAATTGGAAGCAAGAACTGCAAAGGTTTCTACTTCAATACCGTTCAACTCCTCATCAAACTACTAAAGTCGCTCCGTGTGAACTACTTTTTAACAGACAAATTCGGGGATATTTACCAAAACGCACAAGAAAAAAAGTACTTAATAGACACAAGAGGGCGAAGCAGAATTTGGAGCAGAAGAAAGAAGAGAACAAAGAGTACTACGACGACAGAAACAAAAGAACAAAGGAAGCTGGTATAAAAAAGGGTAACATCGCCATTTGCAAGCAGAAGAAGAACACTAAGTTAACGTCAAAGTTCGACCCAGAACATTATACGGTAGTACAACGTAAGTACAACACCATCATAGCTAAAAAAGATGGCAAGACGATGACAAGAAACGTTTCACACTTTAAGAAGGTAGTAATGGAGGAAAGCGAGGAGGAGCAGGAAGATACAGTACCGGGAAGATCGACGGAAACAGAGGAACCACCAAAGCAAGAACCAAGTGTAAGGAGATCAACAAGAATGAAAAGACCGGTAATACGATATCAATACCAGACTTGATGTTATTAACAGTAAAACGATATAGACGTTTAAATTATAGAAACATCAGACAACGTTGATTTACATAAGTATGAACACAAGGCAAGGACATTTTATTAAGTGGTTGATATTCAGTTAAAAAATAGAGGGAGAGTAATGTAGTATTCGTAGGATGCGATAAGTTAATAATTAACTTCTAAGCATGTAACAAACGTTGATTGACATTTGTAATAAATCATTATTCAGTCTATTCTACAAGTCTCCTCTGAAAATCGTCTGGCATTAGAGAGACAGTGAAAAACAAAAAAGACAGTCTTTATTAGGGCTCATCAGAACAGGCACGTATTCCCATATGTAGGTGGGCCTCCTCTACTCGACTCTCTCTGCAGTCTTGTGCTTACCTATATATATTAATCCTGCACTATGATGGGCAAGTATATAAATTTCACACCATATATTAAATCTTTATGAACATGTATAAAACAACCACAATTACAAGTATTAAAAACTGGCAGTCTGGCAATAAAACCACAAAGGCCAGTGCTGATACAAAACAACATAATTTCATGCACACAGTATCTAATCAACAATATTTTTGTCTGCTATTGAAATATTTGCCGTATATATTGCATGGGATGATGAGTTTTTGACATATGTGATATATGTCCAACCATAGTCCCTCAGAGAAAGTTAAAAAGTTTCGTGAATCTTACCTGAAAGAATCAGTCTTTCTTTGTGTGAAGTGTTGCATCCACAAGCAAAGCAAACCCGGATCTTTCCTCCGCGTTGTAAAACAAGTAATGTGCGAGGGAAATATTAAGATTTTTTAGCTCAAAAACAACAGAAAACTTTAATAAAATATTTTTCCAAAAACCAGGGGGGTTAGGGACATCGTCGAAAGCTTAGGATTGCGGTTGGTCAGTGGCAGTTACCATGAAATTTCGGAAGTGTTGTCATGGAAATGGCGTAAGATCCGCCATGTTTTTGGCGACACTTTTCATGCCGAGCAGGTCCTTCAGTTATAGTATAGCTCAGTGGGTCCAACTGTCCTGACCTCCCACAGTCCCACCCGCTAAGGTAGTATTAGTCGGTTTCAGTCATTGAAATGAATATAACTGGAACGCTACCTTCAGATAAACTGCATGTCTCTCCTTCTTGAAGCCAAATCATGGGGCTCAAGGCACGCGTGTTTATATCATGATTGAGCGCTCTTTGCATGCGTGAAAAGACTGGGACTGGCCGTCAAGTTTGGTTTCAAATTTCCGGTTGGAGGAATTGGAACCAGTTATATTCATTTCGGTCATATTGGTCAACTTCAGAGATGTTGACACTTCCTATCGAAACAACAAATTAAACTCAATGCAGTGTCCACTAAACACAAGACTACTAGATATAACATTTTCATATTCTGATAACTGTATAGTTGCTGCACAATATGGCTAGTAGTAAAATCATATTATTATCGTTGCTTCTGTAAAGCCGTTTGACCCCCAAACCGGCTCTTTTGCCGTCGTTTTGCTTCTTTTGAATTAACAGCTAATTTATGTGTTTAAATTCACCTAATTTGTACAAAAAAATCGGAAACTTTAGCCTATGCCCTTGGAACTATCTCAGACAATTATTTGTGTCCTATAATATAGAGATATTTCTGTTATAGAATTGAAGCTATCAGTCCGAAAGATAGAAAAACAAAAGAGGAAGAAAAAGAACTTGAAGAATTAAGAAATGAAATAGATCGCATAAAGTACGTCATGTATATCCATACCTTTTTTATAGAACCCTTTCTTATTTACACAAAACATTAGCTGAAGATCGTCTTTATCAAATTCGATATTTTCATATAAAATCAGTAATAGTATTATACTAAGCTTCTACGCGGACTCTTATGTAATAAATCAAAATTTTTGAAGTATTCGATTCCCAGTTGACCTAATTTGTAAGATTGTGAAAGTATAACGGGGAACGTCTTTTTCTTTTGTTTGTTATTTAGAATTCTTCCACTTTCGGTCCTCGTGCAAAATTTGTCTGAGCCTGTTGACTTTGAAGACATCTCTAATAAAATGGTAAGTTCTCCCAATTATGTACTATTGTTCCCAGTAAACTGCGAAACGACCGTTTTTTTAGGCGGTTTGTCAGTGACAGTTTTGTCAATTAAGAAGGACATATTTGTGTACCTCGTGATCACAATTCGCTGCAAGCGGCGTGTGAAAAACTGCAAGTTTTCAGTTTGACAGTTGTTTGACAGTTCTGACAGTTAAATGGTTTCTAATTTTATTGTCCAATCAGGTGCGTAGTTTTGATTTAAAATTCAAAACTACGCATCTGATTGGACAATAAAATTAGAAACTTATTTAACTGTCAGAATTGTCATACTGAAACTTGCAGTTTTTCACACGCCGCTTGCAACGAATTGTGATCACGAGGTATCACAAATATGTCCTTCGTAAAAACGGTCGTTTCGCAGTTTACTGGGAACAATAGTATCAAACTTTAAAGGATTAAAAATATTTTCTGTGACCGCAAGGAAACATGGAAACGTTTTCTGTTAGTTATCGATATTAGTTTAATCTTGCTGGACTTTGTGTATAGATAGGTTTACTGTTACCTAACATTAGGTTAGATGGCTACACTGTTGAGCTACTTGAACAAGGGGCAAGCCCATGAAGGCGCATTGACGTTTTATCTGATGAACTGTGTTTAGTTCATTTGGTTGTTTTTATATTCTTACTGCTCACCCAGAAATTCTTGCACCAGTGGTCCCATGTCCACGAAGTCCAGTACGAAAGGATTCCGTGCATAGATATCTTATATACACTAGATAGCGCATCTCTTTTAGAAAAATTGAAGCTAAGAATATTCCAGCGGTTACCCCCATTTGAATAGATGGCGGCCATGTTGGTCGTTCCCACTTGCTAATAAACGCTTAAAAACAACAATAACTTTCATCATTTGAATAGTTTGAAAACGTATTTGGAATAGGGTTAACTTAATGTTTAAGTTCCTTGTTTGAGATATAGAAAACATACGAATCTTCTCATTTCACGGGAACGACCTGGGACTGCAATCACGGCTTCAATTTTTGAACTGCAGAATAATTAGATGCACTATCTAGTGTATATATAAGATATCTATGATTCCGTGTCAGTCAATAGTGTTAATTGAACCGATATTTTTACTTGTTTTTAGCCCTATTTGATCACAGAATATACCTTTGTTTATAATTTTAACGTAATCTATTTTTACGACAATTTTTGTGTACTGTACACATTCGTCCTCGGTAAAATAAATTTTTCAATTGTTTTTCAGTTGCCTTCCCGCACACCACATCAGTGCGAGGTGTTTTGGTTTAACGAACTTCATCCACTTCTAAATAAAGAAAAATGGACAAAAGAAGAGGATAAATTATTACTGAAATTAGCAGAAGAGAACAGCACTGGTGGAAACTGGGACGAAATCGCTTGTGAACTGAAGGTAAAACAGGCTCAAGAGGCCCGTACAGTTCTTGAAAAATATTCTTCTTCGGTCTCAGCAGCGTCCCTTGACCTTCTGTCTCAGACCTCGGGAAATATTTTCTAAAGTAAAAAGGGAGAGAAACATGGTAACTAGTGTGTTGCTATGACAACCATAGAAACATTCCAAAATGTTTGCTTAGGTGCACTGACTAACTGTACCAAATTTCAGTTAATTTCGTTGAATCACTTCTGCGATATTAGTATTACACAAAAAATACAAAATGCCTGATAACTTAGGAACTATGCAGACGAGCTGTGAATAAATTGTTAAGGCCATTCTTCCAGCATCTTTTTTAAGGTGCTTTCAAGTGAACCATAAATACTGGGGAGAAAATTTCGTATCATGTGCACTTTAACGTTTTTAGAGCAACAGATCAGCAGCTCAATGTCTACAAAGATATCAGAGGAGCTTAAATAAGAACTTTTTAAAAAGGTAACTTTTAATATTCCTGATTCCATATCGAAATGTATTCTGAAATATTCTGTTATGACTTATTGTAATTGTCATCATTCGCGGGTAAAAAAATGTGGATTGCTTGACGTTCCCAGTTGCGGACAGTTTGCGAATATTAGAGATGCGAATATACCTTGTCAATACCCTGTTATACAAACTTTTTGGCTTAAATATAGCATTGTACTGATAACCCGTTACGTTCAGACCTTGCATGGCATCATCGCTGCCATTTTAACGGTGGCAATCACGCGATCATTTGAGTATGGATATTCGGCTGTCTGTCGTGAAATGTATCTCATTCCAAACTTGGGACTCTTCGCATGGATAATATATATGTCCATTGACAGCTAGTACGTCTTTACCTCGCTTCCGCATATTTACGTACAAATGTTGTTTTCAATTTTTTGCTTTGATTCATGTAACCTGCATGAGTGTGTTATCGTTTGATCGCTTTATTAAATTCTTTAGAAAATTATCCGTTTTTCGTATTTCTGTTTTGCCATGCATCCACAGCGGCTACATGACGGCGAAGGCTAAAACCCCCGATGAAATACATAATATTTTACGTCTTGTATACAACGTCTACATTTCAAACCGCGAGTGGCAGAGTGCGATAATTCAAGATATTTATAGTCGTACCTGACTGGTACGCCAATGATTATTGCCGCTTAATTGCGCTAGTATAAAAACTCAGTGCGCAATGTGTACTTGTATAATCTTTAAAATAAAGTATACATAAAGCATATAGGTTCTGAAACGCAGATATAGCAACAGTTCTTATGTGGTACGTGGCTGAAAACAACGAAGTTCTAGACCGTAATATTAGAGAGCTTTAGATTTTAGTACGACCAAAGCCCCGTTTATACTACGCTCGATTTTTGGTACCGTACCACTTTTTTGGTTCTTGGACTACCTAAATAGGCAGTCCAAGAACCAAAAAGTAGTACGGGTACCAATTTTATCCGTGCCGTACCAAAAATTGAGCGAAGTGTAAACGGGGCTTAAGATTCATTGTTCACACATGCATGCTCGCCATCTTCTGCTGGAAAATGTCCGCGGCAGCACCACAGGAAATTTTTGACATCTTATATACTGGAATGCCATATAATTTACTTATTGTTTAAAAATTCCAAAAGTCGAGATTTTCTTGTGCCGAGATTGAAGTCTATCACACCTTGCGGCACCATATACGTTCTCTGAATCTACCTATACTGTGTGCAGGAAGTTTTATATTTCAATTACACAGGAAATTTTTTTACACAGCAGATTTTGCTGCCAGGAATAGAAATCTACTTGTATATCATTATGCGCGCGCCATAATCCCGTACTAGAATGAGTTTGCTTTGGCCGTCGTCGTTTCGTTAACCTTCTACTGTACATCGTATGGATCCTATATTAACATGCAGACGAGGTCCCCCCCCCCTTCTCTTAAAAAGTTACCAAGGTGGATATGTTCCTCATTTCCCGATATATCGTATACTTGCACGACAGACCTGGTAGGTAAATAACATGTTTTACATTTATGGATTTCAGCAAGTGGGAACCGGAAGACGATGAGAAGTTACTAAAAGCTGTTAGAATCTGCGGAATTGGGCCTTGGGAGAAAGGTATTTTGCAGTATTTCTTTCTTTAGAAATAACCATTACTTTCTAATATTCACGAAAGTAGAAGCTGAAATGAGAATTTGAATGTTCATATCAAATTACAAGTTTTGCTTCATCTCTAAAAATAGTTTATAGTCGTAGTTGACATGTATATACTGTGCGTGGTTTTAGAGTTGCTCCACCTCTTTCGAATTGTCTTCGGTTTTGATCACTATACCTTTAATATAGAGTTTGTCCAGTGTTGTGAGGTCAGTTTCGTTTTTAATTAGGTCTATGTCAAGTCTATTATAGACCCTATAAAAAATAAAGCCAATTCAAGCGAAACTGTGGACCAAGTCTAAGCTTTCAGCAGAGGCGTATAAAATGACCCTAAGCCCACACAATCCCAATACGTTATTCGATGCAAATAGTGAGCTTAAGCAAGTTTGACAACACGAACGACATGAGTAACGTCAGAAGACTGGGTCAAGGGCTGTGATTGGTGAAAAACGTCAAGTTTACTTCCGGTCGACGTCCGTGTTGTTAAAAACGTCACTTGCTCAAGCTCACTAATATCTTGCTGGGTACGGGTGGAGTGTTTACATAAGCATCTTGGCATTAAAAGCTGCCTTTCTGTCAAATATCAATGAATTGACAAAACATGATGGCAGTGATGTGCTGTAGCCTGACTCTAACACAGCCCCTCAAATTTGCTTCGAAAAAAATTAAGATCATGTATGTGTAAATTTGCAGGCGCATGCCTATTGAAACAATAGGACGCAAAGGCCCATGGGAATGTTTGATGCATTAATGACAACGCTTGATGCATTCCCATCATTCAAAGTGGGATGAGCAACTGGGGAGGAGTCAGCTGGGATTACTAATCAAGGATTCAAGGGGGCAAAAAAATCCCAGGAGGGGCCGAAGCTATTTTACCATTTGCTAGTTCGAACATACTCAATCTTGTTCCCCGAGCATGCCCGTTCGCAGGTTAAGGGTGGGCATAGCTCTGGAGAAATCGAATTGATTCAGGCCTGTGATTGGCTAATTCGGCAGATAGTACGTTGGATTTCCAACGTGAGTTCTACGCTTGACAATTATTGCAAAATATAAACAAAGTATTTGGAATTTCTCGTCGAAAATTTGCTACTTTTTTACACTGAAATCGATTGAAAACAACTAGAAATTCTGCGAAAGCTTCGGATATGCGAAAGCTTCGGATTGATACGGATACAACTACCTGAAAAATACAAGGAGACCTTCGACGTTTCGAGCGAAGGCGCTTCGACTTGTGCTGTTAATGTTTGTATATATAGTACTTGACCTTTTATATTGTCGTACTTAACACTACGTATACCATAAATTCTGACAGGAGAGTTCAATGTAAATTTTAAAGCATAAGAATCTATAATACTCATTCTTGAGGAGATTTATCAGTAAAGGTGAAGTACGATGTATATAAACACTAACAGTACAAGTGACAAGTCGAAGCGCCTTCGCTCGAAATGTCGAAGTTCTCCTTGTATTTTTCAGGTAGTTGTATCCCTATCAATCCGAAGCTTTCGTACATATTTCCTCATAATTTTTAGTTGTTTTCAATCCGATTTCAGTGTAAAAAGTATCCAATTTTCGACGAGAAATTCTAAATACTTATTTATATTTTGCAACAATTGCTGAGTATGCGTAGAACTCACGTTGGAAATTCAACGTGAATCAATTCGATTTCTCCAGAGCTATACCCACCCTTAACCTGCGAACGGGCATGCTCGGGGAACGAGATTGGAACATACTTTGTTAATTATTTGAAGTGTATTTGTCTTTGAACTACTGCATGGGCTAGCCTTGAAGTTGTAGGGAGTCCAGTGGTATGGTCCCACAGGATACTTTTAAAATTTAGAGTCGGTAGATTGTCATTTTCAGCATTTTTGGGGGCTATTCTATAAAGTTGGTGATTTTGAATAATCTTTTAACATGTAACAACTGTTCAATCACAAACCAATCCAAAACGTTTAAAACGTAGCAAGATTTTAATTACATTTATACAATAAATGAAAATATGATGTACATGCTTTGTATTGATCAGAATTTTGACACTTCACCCAGTATCAAATATGAAAATTCCATTACGCTAACGTAGAAGTACTACAAAATTTATTGGGGTGAGCAACATGGGTTGACGCCTTTAGAATGCATGCAAAACACATTTCAACCAAGCCAAATAACTTACGTAGATATTTCGCCTATACGTCATAGACGGATTTTCTGGGGGGTGCGCACCCCCCCAAAATAAATTTTTCCTCAGAAAGTTTTACTACCCCACCTAGAGAATTTGATTATCCGTCGATGCTACATGTAATTTTTTTTATTGCAAGTAAATATTATATTTCCTCTAGTATCTAGTTTCCTAGATGGTCGTACTGGTTCTCAGTGCATGCATCGTTATAGTAAATCTGTCGATCCTGAGATCAAGAAAGGGAGGTGGAATGAGGAAGAAGACGATGTAAGTAGAAAATCTGAATGATAGTGTAAGTGTTATTGACAATCAACGATATTGTTTTTTCATTACCATGCACTGAGTTATATAGCATTTTACTCCAAGACAAAGGCGACTATATAGGCCCTATTAAAGGAATACCGAATGGTTTTCCGTGCAGGATTGCGTGATGGATGTCGCGAGACTTTCGGAAAGCGTAAAAATACTCGAGCCGCAGGCGAGTGTATTTTTACGCTTTCCAAAAGTTGAGCAACATCCCAAATGCATGGATCACGCTAACCTGCTTGGAAAACCATTTGGTAATTGTTTTATAAAATAACTATAGTGAAACAATGACATTTTGAGAATCCTGCGAAAATCCTCGTGCAGGATAGCCTGATCCTGCACGGCTATTGACCAATCAAATTGCGTGTTTCACTGTAGTTATTATATAATGTGTATTCTTTTGAGCATTCTAGTACGCCGTACTGTAGTTGTCCAAACTGCTACGTTATTTACATGATTTTCGCGGCCATAATCAGGATATATTTACGTCGATGCATGAAAGTCGCATGGATTATGAAACAGTTAATTCCTCCCTATTTTTTTCAGCTGGTACGTAAGGGAGTAGAGTTGTATGGAACCAACTGGGTAAAATTTAAAACTTTGCTACCTAGAAGGACAGATGCTCAAGTCCGGGAAAGGTTAGTGCTTTCAGTCTAGTCACTGCATCGTTATAGTAAATCTGTCGATCATATTGATAGGAGGTCATATTTTTACCTCGACTTGTGAGTGTTTGCATGTATAATTTAGGCATAGTACTTTACTTAATTTCTTGGCGTGGGAATGCAGGGCCCTGTAGTTTTATTATATAGTCGTACTCTGCATGTAGCAAAGGAATTTTTAAATATACTTAAACTCGTCTAATTTCTTAATTTCACGGTAAAACCTGCATTGATAAAGAAGAATTTTTTGTGTATGAAAATATTAATTTTTATCCTTGAATAATTAATGAAAAATAAAACTTTTTATATGTATTGTTCACAGAATGTGCTGCTGCATGGTATATAGAGGGTTTTAGCTCATTTCATGCCATTGCAATTTCCCCAATCTTTGAAGACAAACATTTCAGCGAGAAAAGATTAGAGTAAACGCATTCTATTTCAATTATTTGTATAATACGAGATATATGTTAATTAATTAACTCTGCAAGTACGTTTCTCGATGTGTTTTCAGATGGCAAGATGTTCTTGATCCTAGACTTCGCAAAGACGCTTGGACAGAGGAAGAAGATGCGATATTACTTAAAGTCGTGGAAGAACAGAGCGTTGGTGAGTTAAACTCGCACACTGAGATTCGCCGAGCAGCGGAATGTGTTCCTCAGATTTTGTTTACCACATATTTTTTTCAAATAATACAAATTATCATACTTCACTTCTCAAACTAAGACTCAAAGAGCTTTAAAGCTTTTGTTATGTTTGCGTTGAAAAGATTGGGAGCCTTGCTTATCTTGGTCGAAAAATTTTGAATATGCTTATGTTAGTCCGGAAAATTTTTTTTGACTATGCTTTATATTAGACATGTTAGTCTGGAAAATGTTTTTGACTATGCTTATGTTAGTCGGGAAATTTTTTTTACCTCCCCCCGCCCTCCCCCCGTCGATAACATTTTCGGGAAAAATTTGTACAACTTTGTTAAAATGCTGAAAATGTTGGTCAAAACATGACGACACCCCTCCCTCCCCAATGTTGATGGCTTCGCGACGTCCATGCTGAAATCATCTGCTCTCTGCAGACTTGGGAGAGGCAGTACTTCAAAAATGACATGAAAAGAATAGTTAAATCACCACAAAAAGAAGTAGCCCAGAAACGTTCTCATGAAAAGGATAATTTAATCACCACAAAAAGAAGTAGCCTAGAAACGTTCTGAGCTCCAAATGGAATTCGAACGTACTACCATCCATGGTCTAAACTGATGCTCTAAACCACTGAGCTATTGGAGACTCTATCCCAGTCCTCATGTGAAATGAGTAAAAAGTCAACGCTCTGCTGAAAGTCGGGGTTTTCTCCGGGTACTCCGGTTTCCTCCCACAGGGAAAGTTGAGAGGGTGGGTTGGGGAAAAGGGCCCACAGCAATTGACCATTTGCGTAATAGACTAAATTTTGATCTCAACAGAAATTTCATCACAGCTTGAAAGAGCATCACAAAATTAGTAATATTCCAAAGTTTCGTTGCGAAATGTTGAAAAATGCGGAAAATATAGCCTTGCGAAGTTTGCAATTTTCAGTCATTTTAGATTACAAACGGGAAATTGACCGCCCCAAACCCTCTGAGGCTGTCAATTTCCCGTTTGTAATCTAAAATGACTGAAAATTGCAAACTTCGCAAGGCTATATTTTCCACATTTTACAACATTTCGCAACGAAACTTTGGAATATTACTAATTTTGTGATGCTCTTTCAAGCTGTGATGAAATTTTTGTCTAGACTTGTTTAGATCAAAATTTAGTCTATTACGCAAATGGTCAATTGGCATATGCTGTTGTGGTGACACTGCCCTAGTTGGCAGAGCTTAATAAATAAATGATTTGACCTACGATTTGACCTCCTAATATTGAATGCTTCCTGATTTCAGTAGTATGGATGGATGGATGGATGGCCGCCCACTCTTATATCGGTTCTGATGGTTTAACGTGACTGAGTGATGCCGTTATGGGTTTCAAAATGCATTCGTGCGTGATGCGGTCCGGAGGTCAAAACCCACATAAGACCCTTGCTCACCATACAGTCTCCAATTGTTCTGTGGTCAGAGCATCCGTCTAGCATCCGTCCACTTGGAGCTCTGAGCAACTTGTGGTGATTTTATTTCCTCATGCAACGTCGTTCCTATAATAAAAAATATTATCTATCTAATATAAAATTAAATTTAAAACACATTTTACAATAATCAACTCTAAATAAAAAAAGGTTTTAAAACTGTGACTCGTAGGAATGTTAAAAACAAACCGTTTCCAAAGTGCCCTATAAAAAGCACAAAGTTGTATGTCTTTCTATATGCAAGAACCGCTCCTAGGCGAATGATTGTATCAAATCAACATTTTTATGTTGTTTCTAGGATTGAGGAACTGGGCCACGATCGCAAGACATATGCCAGGGAGGACTGATAATAGATGTCGACGAAGATGGTTTATTTTAATGAAAAATGATCCAAAGGTAGTGTCCTGTTGCCCGCATTCGAAGGGTTGGTTCAAAATTTATGTTTACATGACGCTGAATTAGGATTCATTTTAGTTACTTTTAACCACTTTACAATCGAAGCCTGTACTTTTTTCATTGATTTTGTTTTAGAAAACAGGAAGTAACATGGCACGAATAGTTTGAGCCAATATTACATGTATAGAACCCCCGTGCAGTGCTTATATTATGTACTTAATGTATTTTTCTATATACATCATGTTATGTATGCAGCGAGTCAGCGACATTAATGGGAGCATGCCATATCTCCAGGTGATTTACATTAAACTGAAAGTTCGTAATCTTCAAGCAGTTTTTATTGGTCGAAATCTGGTTACAAAACACACAATTTTTGGTTAGCATTCATATTTGACTCACAGATGTTGCAAAGCAACATCTGTGGTAAAAGTCTTTGCGATTACTTAGTGGGGGGCAGTTAAACAATAGGAAATGACCAGCCTGCTTTGCGCGCACTGTTTGCCTGCGAATCGAGCCTTTCAGAACCGGAAATTGGGCTGGAGCACGCGTTCGTTCTTTACATTTGGCAAATGAAGCACGACAAATGGGCGAAATGGCAAAATGATTTGGAAAACAACTGCAAACTGCTCTAATTCTTTCTGTCACTTTCATTTGATCTTATATTTTACAGTAGAAAAATCTAAACAACTAAAGTAAATCATACATTTTGTCTTTTTTATTAATCCAATGTACGATATTCAAAACAAACGCTCCTAGAAACTTGTTCTTTGCATTTCACATACTTAATTCAGCCTCCCTCCCACGGGACAAAGTGAGTTAAGGTGTCACGTGACCAGCCTGAACCACGGTCTCTGCTGGAGCGTGTTAGGGAGGGAAGCGGAAGTAGAGAGCCTGGCTTGCGAGGTTGCTTTCTTCCCACATACCGAAGAGATTGTCGCGTTGATGTGTTTATCATGAATGCATTATATTAAATCTCGTACTCATTTATAATTAATGGTATGTAATATATACAGCATGAGCCGTCGTGTTTGTATAAGATATACAAACCTGAGCCGAAGGCAAGATTGGTGAAAACGTTTGTTATTCTTCAATCTTTGTGCCGGGAACGACATTTGGTAGAAAAATGAACTTATAAATCAGCAGGACTTTATATCAGATATACAAACTTCTTTGCGGCCATTATTTCCTTTCAATCCTTTGTGTTTTCATGAAGACCTAGCTTTACAACTGGATAAACCTCTGTTGACTGCATGGGAACTGTTGACTGCGTGTCTTCATCTCGATTTGACGAAACGTTTGAGTGTTAAGAAACGGTAAAAATAAGCACTTTAAGCGGCACTTTATTTGTTTTTGAGCAATGTCTTCCTTGGCAACTTCAGTGAATACATGTACATATGAAGCACTATATGTTTCAATATTCTAGCAAGTAATTTATTCACATTAGAATTAGTTTATTCACACTTCATGAAATTAATTTTTTGGAAAGTGCGAATTTACTAATTCCAAAAGTACAAATTTATTCAGGAACTCAAAATTTGTTTATTCTAAAACAAATTGCAAACTGAATTTTCGCCAAATACAAAGAATTTCCTAAATCCCTTTCTATTTGTAAAATTTCCAATCCTTTCAAAGATGCCTGAAAAGCTTATGCATCGCCAAGCCAAGAACAAACTTTAAGACAACATATCGGCCATTCCACCACCACAGTACTCCTAGCTATCAGAGATAACGTCTTTGGGTTCACACAAAACTTTAAACATTTAACCGCGTTGGATTCACGAATGAATACCTCATCTGGACCATATCTGAGAGGAAGGCGAAGGGGTCCAAAACTAACTACAGAGTCTTGCGTGTCGTCATATGTGTGACATCAACTTTGGCGTTTGAGGAGCTGCAGACGCGAATTAATAGCAAATTCCATCAGTATGCAGATGATACATACACTCTATACGCAGTGCAAGCCAGCGAATCTCCAAAGCAATCAATCTCCAAAGCAAAGAATCTCCTTGCCCAATCTGCAGGCAACCGTTACTGCTCAAAAACTTAGCAAAGGACACCAACCTGATATTAAATCTGATGAAAATCTAATGCTGCTGTAAACTCCGCAACTGTCCTCTTTTTACTTTCTTGCAAGGCATGTGTCAACCATTTAACGAAAGCTCAACCAAGCTACTAGTTTCCCATATCCACCAACACTTGAAGTGGGGGGACAATGCCAAGGTGGTGGCTTCGTCATGTTATGCCACACTAGCGACACTGAGAAAGCTCACGAATTAACATGCTTCTTTTTGACCAACACAAGATAATCACGTACTATACATGTTATATTCATTACAACGATCATTCAGCGCGATCAAGAGGCAACGGCAATTTTTGTTTTAGTTAGATGTTCTTCTCTAAGTGACACGATATTCCGTAAATTTTAACATATTGTAATGCTTATTGATTCTGACTTATTCACACACCGAATTGTTGCAATACACCCTCACAGAAAGTGCTTAGTTTTACATGTTGGCTACCAGGTGATCTCGTGTTCGTATTTTAGCCAATCAGCGCTCAGAAAGGGTTGTCCGAATAGAAATCCATTTTGATGTATTCAGTCAATTATATCTTTCGTTATTCTTTATGAAACTAGTTGAAATTTTGTAATTATGTTTGGTTATGAGAATTATAGCTCTGACAAAAATATGGAATCGAAATAAAGTATATTACAGGAGATATTCAGTTGTTTTAATCATAAAATGGATTTCTATTTGACAACTAGTGCCAGTACTTTTCCGCGTATCAAGATCATCTGGCCTATAGAGCCTTGTTTTCGTGATTGAGATATTTGGTTCATTAGAGCCCCTTATCTTGTTACAGGTGACACATTTATTAAACCATACAGTTATGTAAATATGAAAGATCTATTTATAATTTTGTAATCAGTAACAAGATAAAGGGCTGTTAAGAAGCCAGTATCTCAAACACGGAAACGAGGCTGTATGGCCGGGGCTAACTACTTTGTGTATTTGGTTTAGAAATAGTTCCGTAATACAATATTTTAAGATACTATATTTAGTGTTTTTTCTTTAGACAAAAGAGCACTTAAGTAAACAGAAGATTACAAAAGCCAAACTTGTAAACAATTTCTCTCGACGCCGTGCAGATAAACCAGATATTGGACCAGAAGTTAGTATAATCGTTATTATAGTATAACCGTTATTTGAGATATTCGAGTGCAGTCGGCCGTATTGACAGAAAAGTCCTAAAAATCATGGCCTAAAGTCTCTACACTACAATTCGTGCCAAACTAATAAGAAAGCTTAGAGCCTTTTTCTCCGAATATAATTCATTGTATTTTAGATGATTCTACTCTGAGTGGCACATACCGGGCAAGCTGAAAGGTTGCTTGACCGCTGTGGGAATCGAACCCGCATCCTTTGGCTTTTGCTAGTCCAATGCTCTACGAGGTCAAGTCGGTTCGATTAGTTGATGTTTTGGACCTTATAGTCTAATCGCTTCGATATCCAAGTAAATATATCTTACGATCTTAAAACTTCGTAATGTCAATGATACCCAAAATAATTTAGGTGAGTGAACACCAGATCATTTGAAAAGGCAATAAATTGCTAACGTTTGACCAATGGCATTAAATAAATTAAGATTTATGTGGCATATACGATTTGTACCTATAAACAATTTCACTAATGTTGCAAGTTATATAATGGCTTCCAAATTATTTACACCTGGCAATTAGCCTGCACTCAAAAGACTAGATGAAACAGCGTCAGTTAGCTGTTGGACTGCTGCAATTTTGATTCGATTAGCTAATTGTTTTGTTCATAAGATAAAAGTTTTCAACTGTCCATTTTTATTGCGTCTCCAGTTGTTTTTTCTCCCTCCCCATCAGAGTGTTGGGTTTGAGGGGTTGAAGGTCAGCCGGGTTATCAATATGTCTGTAAGATGATATACAGCATACATAAAAGTACAGCTGTATCATGATATACATCATAGATTCAAGAATGACCGTATATATGATATACATCATGCAAATGAAGAGAATGTATATGGAATTATACTGCCGGCGAACAACTAACTTGCGTATTCTTTTCTGTTTTAGGATTTTGAAATTCCTGATCTGTCTGAAACTGTAAGTTAATTTGTACTTGAAGCATAATTTAAATTGTATTTTTAGTGCCAGTACGCGTCGAAACACATATTAGTTAGTTAGTTAGATCAGGTGATCAGGTCTGCATCTTTATGATTAACCCGTGTCATCGACGTCTTTATTAATAAAAAGTACATGTTTGCTTAGGAAATCCTCTCCATTTGACTCCATCAGCAGCCATCTCCCTTCTGTTATCTACAGATCACTTTTATTTGTTCTCTTCTCGACATTATCAATAACTGTTTTCATTAGACTTTTCCTTTGTCTGCCTCTTGATCTTCTGTCATGTTTTCGCTACCAATCCAATTTGTTTCCCCATGACCATTCTGACCACATAACCATGCAAACGTTCATTCTTTTGGAACTTACTGTTTCACATATAGGACGTATTGGTGATTTCTCAAACAAATTTTCGTTTTTAACACGATAGAACCAACATATTCTTAGGATTCTTATAGACAATATTGATGAAACGTTTCAAGTCTTTGATGCATCTGTTTGTCGGTAGTGTATGGAATTGAACGCACATGCTGCCTTTCCAATTCGTTGTGAAATCTCGTTATCAATTGTGCGATAACTGGTGATACAACGCCCCACATAAGTAAACTGAATAACCTGTTTAACTTATTGTTAATGACATTAACATTCTTATGTTATATGCATTTATTTTCAACCCATGCAGTTTATCCACAACATTTGCTAATGAGATCCGGTGTCTCGTGCAAACTTTCTGGAGTAGTTTCGCGGGCTGCAATGTCAGTGGCATGGTCCAAATAATCAATTACTGAAATTTCAGATTGCCGCTAACAAAATCTTCTCTGAAGAATGTTTCCTTTAGATACAAGCTTTGGCTTGTTCAATCCCGCAATTAAGATAGACATTGAATATAAGAGGTCCTTGAGCATCTCCATGCCCAGTTCCACTCTTCTCTTGAAACCATCGACACATTTCACCTTATCTACACTGACAGTGCTTTCAAAAAAGTATTTGGAAACGTTAATATATTTCTGAGGAAGATTCAATAATGATCAAATACCTGATCCTTCGTCTGACAGATTCAAATGCTGGTTTAAACTCAGTAAACTTAATAAACCATCAAATAAATAAATTCCATCCAATGATCCCGAGATCCAATGTCCGCACATTCTATATCCTCTGCAATTTTCGCATCTCAGGTATTCTGCATGTGTAGTATAGCCAAATGTATAAACAAATAAATCGGTCGAGTATTCGAGCGATCATATTTTCAATTAATCAAACAGCCAATTAAGCAACCAAATATTCAACAACAATATTAACTTTGTTTAGGAGGAAAACGTGCCTGATACAGCAGCTAACGATGATACAGCAGCTAACGATGATACAGCAGCTGACAATGGTACTGCAGCTGACGATGGTACAGCAGCTGACGATGGTACAGCAGCTGACGATGGTACTGCAGCTGGAGATGGTACTACTCCTGTTGATGCCAAAACAACGGGAACAAACCAGAGCTCCACCCTTAAGTCACCAAAGAGAAAGGCGGGAAAGAAAAAACGTGGGAGAAAATCCAACACTGGTGGAACGCCGAAACGAAAACAGGTAATTGAATGCAATTATTATTATAGATATAAAGATAGCTTCCACATGAAATGAAAACCGAGTAAGGTAAACCGGGTGTCTAGATTCCGTGCTTTCGTCCTCGAAGTATTCTTGGTATTGAATGAGAGACTGTCCGCCGTCACAAATGTTGAGGAATGTTTTTCTAGAAGAGTTATTCGATATTTCATGTAATACGCTTGCTTCTAGACATTTCAAAAATTCTAAAGTTGACCACAAAGTCAGATAAAATATTTGGGCCAATAGTGCCCAATACCTCAGTAGACTTGCTCCAAGTCTCTCTTTGTGGACATCTATATATTGTACATCTATATTGTACGTTACATGACGTACCGCTGAGGGGGAGAGGAGGAAAGAGAGACTTGTAACATCTGGCAGCAGACATACTTCCGGCTGGTCAATTTCGACCAGCCGGAAGTAGATGGCCGCATTGACTTATCACGTGTTTAGGGGGGGAAGGCGACATCTGGACTTTCAGAGTTATTTGTTTAACATAAGTAATTTTGTATTCACGAGATTTCTTGTAGATTTCACATCACTTTTGACTGCGTGCATTTGGAATTTTGGGCATTATTTTTGCAATTTATTGTAAACAACGATTATAAGAAGAACGGATAAATTACAAATCAGCCATAATCGTCATAAACCTCGATGACCACCAGTGTTTTTGTGTTTGACAATTTGTATTTCATTAGATATTTATATGCAAGGTCAATAGTATATAAAACGGGTTATAATATAAAATGATCATTCTAATGAATGAATTGATAAAACGAATTATTTCTAATATGTACGGTCGCGTTTTTTACACGGCCACTACTGAAACGTTTAGCTTGATTGTTGAATAAATCGATGACTTGCTTAGTTGCTTTCTGTTTTGAGCTTAACCACCGTTTAAGCTAAACGGGCTTGATACAACTGGGCCCAGACTCGGCCCCAGATAAACATTTTTGTATTATCGAGATCGAAACTATAGTAAATTGGAAACCGTGTCAATAATAAAAAACGGACAATGAACTTATGAACATTAGAAAATTGTCACGCCCAAAATTTTTACAAATGTTTATTTTGTTACTATAGTTTCGATCTCGATAATACAAAAATGTTTATCTGGGGCCGAGTCTGGGCCCAGTAGTATCAAGCCCGTTTAGCTTAAACGGTGGTTAAGCTCAAAACAGAAAGCAACTAAGCAAGTCATCGATTTATTCAACAATCAAGCTAAACGTTTCAGTAGTGGCCGTGTAAAAAACGCGGCCGTACATATTAGAAATAATTCGTTTTATCTATTCATTCATTAGAATGATCATTTTATATTATAACCCGTTTTATATACTATTGACCTTGCATATAAATATCTAATGAAATACAAATTGTCAAACACAAAAACACTGGTGGTCATCGAGGTTTATGACGATTACGGCTGATTTGTAATTTATCCGTTCTTCTTATAATCGTTGTTTACAATAAATTGCGAAAATAATGCCCAAAATTCCAAATGCACGCAGTCAAAAGTGATGTGAAATCTACAAGAAATCTCGTGAATACAAAATTACTTATGTTAAACAAATAACTCTGAAAATCCAGATGTCGCCTTCCCCCCCTAAACACATGATAAGTCAATGCGGCCATCTACTTCCGGCTGGTCGAAATTGACCAGCCGGAAGTATGTCTGCTGCCAGATGTTACAAGTCTCTCTTTCCTCCTCTCCCCCTCAGCGGTACGTCATGTAACGTACAATATAGATGTACAATATATAGATGTCCACAAAGAGAGACTTGGAGCAAGTCTATACCAATACCTCGCAAGTACTACGCTCGCAATTTTAACCGACATTTTCCTGTGTGAACTTTATGCAGACTACAAGTCCCAAATCTCCCAAGACGTCAGATGTGTCAAGTCCAGAAAAACCACAAACCAAGAAACTTCGTGCAAAAGGCAAGAGGAAGAAGACTAGAAAAAACAAAGATCCCGTACGCACACCCACTACGCCATCACAAACAACGAAAGCGCCTTCAAAATCACCTGAGAAAGCACTTACAGAACCTCGTACGAAACCTAAATTGACAGCGCCCAGTCCAACCATCGTATCACAAGCCTCTTCCTTACCGAATGCCATGCCAATTTCATTATTACAACAATTTTCAGTACTCTTACAGGTACGTTCTAACGTCGTTTGCATCTAAGTATGAACATGACTGTTATTACAATTTACGAGGGTCTTCCACTAAATTATATTTGCCCAATCCTAAGACTGAATATCTCAAAAAACGTCTTGGTTATATAGAGGGGCAAAATTGTGCTCTCAGATGAATTAAGGAATAAAGAATCTCTTCCCACAACCTTTAATACAAGTATTGCGACACCTGGCCGGTTAATAATTGTCAATTAATTAATTAGTATTCTGATTGTTCGTCTTCTTTGTCTTAAATCTACTTATTACCTTATTTGTTTGTATTCATTGTAATGTTTGTAATTTTTTCTTAAAGCAGGCCTTAAAATATCGGTCGGTCACGGACATTGTCCGACCCATTCGTGAAATTGTCCGACGTAGAAAGAAAACCACCGGACATTCTGTCCGACCAAAGTGAAACTGAGGTTTATTGTTTGTCCGACCCGAGTGTATTTGTGTCCGACCGAACTGTAGCTTTGTCCGACGTAAATCAAAATGTACCCTAGCCCAGGACTAGAGGCTTGTATGTTAAATGGAAAATCAGAGTACTATTGTATAAAAGGTCAACTGGAAATGTTGTTTTAACGTAGTCGAGCGCGGGGCGGCGAGCGAAATGGTGAAGTGGAAAACGGGTTTAAGTTGTCGAAGTCTTTTTTAATACTGCTGTTCTGGAAAGCAAGTTAATTTTGGCTTGGAAATAAGTATGAAAGAAACAAATTATTTAATATCTTTACAACATTTACCGTTTATTCATTTGTGTCATTCAGACGGCTTATTTCCAAGTCAAAACTGAACTGAAGGTCATCGGACATATGTCCGACCCAAACTCAACGTCACCGGACATTTTGTCAGACGGCCCTGGAAAAGATATTTTAAGGCCTGCTTAAAGTTTAATGTAATATTCTCTACGCCCCTCTTGGAAATCAGTTTTTGCTGTATGGGTTAGCGTACAGTAGTCAAATAAAGTTTTAGTATAGGTAATCATGCGATGGCGAGTACAGTTAGGTAATCTCTAATTGTACGAGCAACATCGCATGATTACTTATTATTACCATGACAAAATTGGATAATTCTCAATGTCAACATCATATTCTCTCGCCAAAGTCAGTCCTCCCAGACTTTTAACCAAAATGTGGTGCTTTTGTTCGTATTTTCATTTAGTTCTTTTGCTTTAAGTTCCTCCTCTAGGGCAATTTAATTTGTGTTCAAAATACCTTTCCGCCATTTTGTTTGTTTTGGGAAAATTAGCAATTGTGCTGCATTACAATTAATGAAATAATTGTACTCCTCTCAACCAATCAGCACCCAGTAATTCTAGAAGTCATGCCAATAATAACCTACCTAATTGTCCAAATTTAGTGTACTCTTGTGTAGACTAAATTTAGTCTATAAATTTAGTGTACTCTCTCAAATTAAATTTTAATTTTTAAATTAGGGTTTTAGCTTTCGAATGACACCTTTCTTGTATCATTACAAGCACAATTCAAAATCACATTTTTCCACTTTTGTGCATAATTAAGCAGAACATGACAAAAGGAAAAGCAATTTAAAATTAATCACTGTGTGTCTTGCTAAATTTTTAAAAGTAAGCTAGTTTTAAATATACATGAATATCATTTCATTTTCAAATTAGAACATTTCTGTTCAAGGCATTTCATGTTGACGTATCTGGAGTGCTTAAGAAGGTTAACACGCAAGGAGGAGCAACGACCCCTCAACCAAACGCAAGTGCTACTGCTGTAACAACTTCCGTTACCCGACAGACGTCAGTGACTACCATCGCAGAAACACCATCACAAACACCTAACTGTACAACTGGTAGCGACAATGTGAGCAGCCGAGTATTTTCCAGTACTGGGAAAAACCCGTCAATTGCAGGTCAGATACATGGCTTAGACACTAATGCCAACAACCAAGCGCTCAACAGAATTACTGAAAAAGTGACAAACAACAAAACACTCACCACTACAATTCCGAATCATAACGCTCATGTTGTCAATACATTAGCACCTTCGTCAGCTAATATGATAAGGAGCAATGATAGCGATGTTTCAAATGGTACAACAAATAACATAACAGACACACCTGCAAGTAACACTTCTTTGTATCCTCGAGGAAAAATCACTGAGAAGGTAAGGACTGAGCAAGACAATAATGTAGGTGTTCAGCAAGTGGTAATTAGTGATTCCGATGGCACTGGTCACAGTGATGCAACAGAATTGAGTCCGTCCTCTCGCACTGAGAAAACATCAACAGGATCTAATGGTAATGCTAACACATTAAGCAAGTTAAGTGCTTCCATAGCTACAGACAAGGATTCTCAAAACGGGAATGCTCGACGCACAAGTCGTAAACGAAAACGTGATAGCACTAAGGCCAGCGACTTGATTGCTGAGAAAAGATTGAATGGTGAAGAAAGTAAAGATGATGCTGAGGGAACATGGGAAGGTCTGAAGGAAAAAACAGGTGGTGTTGTACTTTCGGATACACGGCATGGTCTAAATCATGATATTATTGTTTTGTCAAATTCTGTTTCCCATCAAGGACAGCATGGAGTAGGTATGGATGCTAATGAAACACTGGGAAGAGCATCCAAAAGGAAACGGGATAAACGTGGATCCACAATTAAGACAACGAGAGGAAGGAAAAGATCAAATCAGAGTGGAGGTGAGGGTCATATGCATGGAAATATGTCTTCGGGTGATATTGAACAAGTTGAAACATCATCACGCTATCCTAAGAGATCCAAACACGGACAGCGAAACGTAAATGGCAATACTCTTGTTGGTTTAACGGCGAATAAAATAATTGAAAACTCTGTTTCAGAACCTATTCCAGCATCAAATGAAAGGAATAATAGCTTCAGTCCAGGTAGTGCTTCAAACACTGGTATGGGAAACAACCCTTATCTTCACGTTAAGAGAGTAATCATGAATAGTGATATACGATTGCCTCAAGTACCGGCTATCCCGCTACTTCCTCCATCCTCCACCACATTAAGTGCATTTAAGAAAATGTTGACATTACGGAAGGATCTGGAATCGCAAGCTAACCACCTGAACGTCACCAACCATACTGCTAATCAGGCAGCCGACCAACCAGAGAATCAGAATGGACAGTCTTCAAACTCTCAGAATGCATCGATAACAACTTCGCTTCAAAATCCTTTGGCCGATCGTTTGGTGCTCGTGTCAAACACAAAGCAGACATCACACGAGGAGTTTCGCAATTCGATAGCATACCAACAACTTCTGAACAGGTTTAAGGGACTTTTCATGTGGCCTGGATTTTTATCGATTGTCAATCCAAGTTTTAAGAACAATGAAGGTCCAAATCAAACTACTCAGACGCCAAAAAAGAAAAGGCAAACATACAGACGACGAACTCGATAGCTATTAGTATTATATTTTTATAGGGCATAGGGTGGTATATCCATTATGTTATAATGTTAATGTCCATTATTTTTAATGGTCTGTTATGTAAAGGGTTTTCGAAATCCTAACTAAGAAAAAAAAGTAGAGTTTTTTTCACAAATCCAGAATTAGTCAAACTAATGGTTTCCGCCTGTTTTCTCCGCTTGATGCAGTTGTGATCATACAAATTTCGTTTTTTGTTTTTAAATTTGGCAAAATTCATAGAATAAATAATATTGATTAAAATGTCGAAGGCAAATAAGCAAACATAAACTCCTCAACAGAAGCGAAAATGAATTGAATTCAACGGAGTAAGAAAAACAAGCAATTCAATGTGTCCCAAGAAACAAAGGCTGCTTGCTCATTTTAAGAGAGATAATTGGAAAATTTAAGTAAAACAAATATAAAGGATGTATAAAAACATCAGTCCAACTTTGACATGTTCTCCTAATACGTTACTTATAAAATGGCTCCCTCGGATACTGCTCAAACTGCTCTACAGAGTCAGGATCGAAATTATTCTCATTTCAGATTCAAATTTAAGAATTTGAATAAAGATGCCCTAACGTATGGGTTATTTATCAAGGCTTGGTAAATAACGATGGTTAAAACATTTTACGATACTGAAAGTTTGCATACTGAACTTACGATGCCAAACGTTTTCCAAATAAGCAACCAGAACTTGGGCAAATTTTCAAAAATTAGAAGTACAGTTTCATGCACAGAGGTGTGTGCATGATAATGCGACCGGATCGAAACAAAAAGATATCATATACACCTAAAAACTGGATCTTATCAATGAACTTGTTTTCATTTGCACCCGCCATGCTACAACAGGCGAACGTAAAAACGAGGCCATTGAGGCAAGAGTGCAATATTAAACAATTTTAGTATGAACTCGATACTTAACGCATGCTAAAGTTGGATTGCCTTTTTTATACACCCTGCATGACCCTAATAGTCAAACGCAACTACGTCTCATGAAATAAGTTTCTGAATAAATGCTTTACTTTTATTTCATTTTTCCAACGTATATATTGTTCGTTTAGACTTTAGATGTAAAAGACCACGTTACACGAGGAATTTTCAACTTTCAACGCAATTTCTGACAGAAAACATAGAGCGATGTTATGTTAAAACAGTATCAACAGAAAATCATTTGACATGACCAGCTAGCTTTTCACTTTTCTGATATTCCCATCATCATTTAGTTTCTTTCATGTCTTTATGCGTAAGTGATATCTTCATGTTTTGCGTACGAACAGATGTTTGTTTGATCGTGACTTAATCACAACTCTATCTCTGATCATCTCTATAGCTCTAATCCTATAATTGTGCGCGAAACACGTTAATATAAATCTTTAATATAAGTCAAATTCTTTATTTTACTGTAAATACATAACATGACTCTGAGACAGAAGTTCATGTGTAGCATGGCCTTAAAATGCATGCATGTGGATTAAAATGTATTTGTGTACGTTTGCTATATTTGTATATAGTTCGTCTGCATGACAAAACTGATATGTCATCTACCGTTATTTTCGGACTGAAACCAAAATGCCAAAGACACGAATCTGATACAGCTAAATCAGTAACCCCGTAACTTTTTCTAGTTCAACACACCAATTCCCCTTGTCATAATAGCAGCGAACAACTGAAATATCATCCAGCTTCCTGCACTCATCTGCCAGCTCGTTTTCTTTAAAAACGTGGTAAAATCTCTGATATACCTTTGGCACCTTGTCTTTTCCTGCTGAGTTTAATCCCTGCTCATCTTGATCCACCAAGTGTTTGTCTGAAGCACAAGTTAATTCCTTGCTAGAATTAGTACAATTCTTTTGTCCACGATAATTCCACGGGATTAATAAATCTTGCTGCTCAAACACATCTCTGGATGCATTCACTTTCAGTTTCACTGAGTCGTCTCTGGAAGCAGCAGTGTTTCCGGTGCACTCCTGGGTAGATGTTTCTATTTCATTGCTGGATGTATTCAAAGAAGCAGAAAGTATTTCTGAGGTACAGTCTGCTTTTGATGTGTCAGTGACGCAGCTCGACATTCTGGAACATTTTGGTGTGTTGAGTGTATCAGTATCTTCATTATTATGGCTTACACGTTTTGTATCCGAATAAATGTTGTTTTGACAATCCAAATCATATACCCTATTGGACACTTTGGAACATAAGTCCTGCTTACTTACAACACCATTATTTATCGCTGATGTAACGACACCTGCAGAAGTTGTTTCAATATTTGAATTAGTAGGATAGCTTTTCCGTTCAGATGGTAAAGACACATGAAACTGATCCAAGTCTTGTTTCTCCACATGGTTTGCAGTGGAACACATCTTACTGTCAGTCTGAGCATATTTTCCCCAATGATCACGATTTTTCCTATTTTCTGCGTTCTTAAAGTCTTGTTCTAAGGCCCAGACAGAAATTAATATACGACCGCCAGGTCTGATAATCCGAGTAAGTTCTTTAATAGCGGCTAGGCGGCGAGCTGCTGTAGAAAGATGATGAATGACAGCGATACATATACACACATCAAAGCTATTGGATCTGAAATATAAACAAATTGCAAAATCGGTCAGGAACCAGTTAGATGAACCTCGGATAGTTTACAGTAAATCCAGTGATGATATAGTTAAATCCAGTTACAATGAAATAACAGAACCTTATATATTTTTAAAAGAGTTAACGTTTGAAACGTTGCAAGATGCAAGAACAATAATTATTGCCATATTTTCCACAGCCCAAACCTATTTACTTTCGTCTCACATACCAATAAATATGCGCTTCTCACGCAGGGCTAACGGATGGCTAAAATATGGTAGAGTTGAATTACCTGTACGGTAAAGATAAAATATCACAAACAATAACGTGATATCCACGTTCTCTGCAAATAGCAGCGAGGTTTTGACTGCGGTCTGATCCAAACATCAACAACTGATCATTAATACCAAGATATTTACCATTCCCACAGCCCACGTCAGCCACTATAGAACCAGGAGGTTGTTTTTTCAGGAATTCAGCAATTTTAGGCCAAGGGCTGTGACGGGTACCACTGAAGTGTTCAGCGATACTTTCATACACATTGTGAACATGTTCCTTTTCTAAATTCAAAGCATCTTCTTCTGACTGCGGTAGAGAGTTATCCACGCCTCCTCCACCCTTGGTCAACTGACGGCCATAATTTTGTGAGTCGCAGTTCGCAGTGTATTTACAATCGCAAGGAGTATGTCTGATTTTGCGGAACGTTAAGGATAACCTGACTTTCCGTGGAAGAAGTGTGACTGCATTGGATGGGTTAGAAGGATGCTGTGTCGTGGAATGCACACCTTCATCGTTGGGTGTTACTTCATCTTCGTTTACCACATCGTATTTCCGAGGAGTTATTCTGTGAGAAAAAAAAAACATTTATTATAGGTAGCGAGTTTTACGAATGGATTTTCTTATGCGAAAACTCACTTCGCAATATATATATAAGACAATGAATCAAGAAAGCGAAATAATTTTCTCACAAGTCAGAAGAAAGTTCAATCAAACAATGCATGTGATGACGTACGAACAAATTTACTCACGGCAGGAATTCGTATTCCCGCCTTTTGGTTTGACTTTAACTGGGCTTGCTTTATTTTATCGCTGTATTTCGGTTTTTATTGTTGTTTGAATGAATTGTAATTTCCAAGCGTGCCTATATGACTCTTTTATGAATTTATATAGCTTTTCTGGAGACAACGTTTTCAGAGATGTGAAGTTAAAATTGATGTACTAAAAACGTCGTGACTCGTGATGAAGACTATATCACGTATTTCAATGGAAGAATAATCTCAGTATATCTGCAAAATAGACAAATTTGTTCATGAATCATGGGAAGTGCTTTTGTACTGTATTTTTGCAGTTCACTCTGTTGTTAATTTGTTTTTACAAAAGTCAAAACCATAGATATCTTATATACACTAGATAGTGCATCTAATTATTCTGCAATTCAAAAATTGAAGCCGTGATCGCAGACTCAGGATATTCCCATGAAATGAGAAGACTCGTGTGTTTTCCATTTCTTAAACAGGGAACTTAAACATTAAGTAGTTAAACCTATTCCAAATACATTGTCAAACTATTCAAATGATGAAAGTTATTGTTGTTTTTTAAGCGTTTATTAGCGAGTGGGAAACGCCAACATGGCCGCCATCTATTCAAATGGGGGTAACCGCTGGAATATTCTTGGCTTCAATTTTACTAAAAGAGATGCGCTATCTAGTGTATATAAGATATATATGATCAACACTCACTAGCTCGTTGCATTCGGTCGTTGACTTTGAGAAAACAAATTAAGGCTTGCGCAATACGATCACGTCGGCACTTCTCTATATCAATCTCTCTATATAGGCAAAAATCTCTATATATAGGCTATGAGAAATTTGAAACCACGGACGCTGATTCTCGTTAGTCAGAAAAGGATTAAAAGCGTTTCGATGTGTCGAATGAAGATCCTTTATCAGTTAAGGTCAGTTTCAAATTATGCGTTTGCACGTATACGTGTATGCTCACAACCTCGTAGCTAGATATGTAGACATTCAAAAGAAATGCCAAGAGGTCGCACGGTGATAGCCAAGTGTTTTGATACATTAAGCAGAATATGTTGCCAAGATTTCAGAAGCGGTGGAAGGTTTCATGCCATAGATATTTATATACACTAGATAGCGCATCTCTTTTAGTAAAATTGAAGCCAAGAATATTCCAGCGGTTACCCCCATTTGAATAGATGGCGGCCATATTGGAGTTTCCCACTCGCTAATAAAAGCTTAAAAAACAATAACTTTCATCATTCGAATGGTTTGAAAATGTATTTGGAATAGGTTTAACTTAATGTTTAAGTTTCCTGTTTAAGAAATAGAAAACATACGAGTCTTCTCATTTCATGGGAATATCTGCAATCACGGCTTCAATTTTTGAATTGCAGAATAATTAGATGCACTATCAGGTGTATATAAGATATCTATGTTTCATACTCATGCTACTTACAAGGTGCATGTATTAGAATTTAGTTACGAATATCTCCTGGTAAAGTGCGCGATTATCTGTAAGTTTTTACTTGCATATGCATTAGTAAATTTGTAATCATGTAGAATGGCGTCCATTGTTTGGAGGTGCCCGTTGTTCAGAAGGTTTAAGTATTATCTCATACCTAGCGTATATTAGCGGCTGTGCTATTGGATACGAGGAGGTGCGTTCAATTTCTTATCCCATGTCTGTGTTAAAAGCGGCTTTCTGGTTGGTTCCGAGCAGGTGAGTTTTTTTAACTCACCAGCCGATAAAACTGCTTACGTTGCCGTCCGCGTCAATAACAATGGCGGACAAGATTCAGTCGATATATATACCTAAACTTTAAAGAACTTTTTTCCGTGACTATAAACCTACTGAAACTGAAGAAAAACCAAAGAAAAAAATGTAATAAAGGTAATCTAGACGTAGATAAAGAAGTATTAAGAGCCCAGTGATTGTTTGGCCGAGAAAATGTTGACAAAATATCGATGAATATATCGCAAATTAAAGAGCTAGCGTCACAAAACAGCATACGAAGATTACGTACAATGTGTATGGCATAATAACGAGTGGCTGGAAGTTTCCCGAATTCGCGTCGCTCGGTGCGTCCAATCCCAGATACGAGAAGGTGCGTTCAATCTCTTATCCCATACCTGTGTTAAAAGCGGCTTTCTGATTGGTTCCGAGCAGGTGAGTTTTTTTCGAACTCACCTGCTTTTCGCCGAACTCCCCGCGATAAAACTGCTTACCTTGCCATCCGCGTCAATAGCAATGGCAAGTAGGTTTGTTATAGAACTTATTATTAGCATGACAAAATTACTGGATGCTGATTGGTCGAGAGGAGTACAATTATTTCATTAATTGTACTGCAGTACAATTAATGATTTTTCCAAAACAAACAAAATGGCGGAAAGGTATTTTAAACACAAGCGTGAAATGAAATTGCCGTGAAGGAACTAGATGAAAATACGAACAAAAGCACCAAATTTTGCTTGAACAAAAGAACTAAATGAAAATACAAACAAAAGCACCAAATTTTGGTTGAAAGTGTGGCAGAACTGGGCTTTGGCGAGAGAATATGATGTTGACATTGAGAAGTATCCAATTTTGTCATGCTAATAATAAACAAGTAATCATGCGATGTTGCTCGTACAATTAGGGATTAATAATACTCGTGATCCTAATTGTACTCGCCATCGCACGATTACCTATACTAATCAGGGCCTGAACTTACTTCACGTCCATTGTATATGCAGGTGTGCGTTGTACAGGGTGTCAGCAGAGGTCCCGCTGTAATCACAAATTGTGCTGGCATTACATTATAACACTTACCCATGAGTCCAAGCATATCTACACTCCTCAGTCATTATGAGAACACTTCGTCTTGGTAGTAAAATAAAAACATGGCGTCCATCCGGATGACGGAAATCCATAGCGACCTGGAAAATATAGAATGACAGAATTACCATTTAATGTAGGTTTTCTACTATACCGTATAGTGGCATTAGTCACGTTCGTTCCCGCGTAGATCACAATTCTAAAAAATGCACATCCGTTGTTATCTTATACCCGATTTATACGAAACTGTCAAGCAGTCCCTCCAATACTGTAAAGGTAGGTATAGATCTAGGGTGTTTAACGCCTCCACGCCTTTGCTACCTTTCATGTTTCCTGCCGGGGCTTTGTATAATTCTATATCGAGTCTGGATCTAGAGCCTTTGGAGTGATAAAAACATAATATAGAACTTATGTTACTGTACCTTGGCACCAAGGCTAAGCGAAATGATACCATCTTCAAAGGCAGAATGAGTATCAACATGAGGAGGAATCCCTATAGACAAAAGAAAATTACATAAATAATATAATTTCCTCAAATCTCTGCTGCAATTTAATTAAATATCTGCGTTAAAGTATTTAACTGTTACTGTTAAAATATTTAAAATTTTACATCTAATTTTAATTTTATAGATTGAGAGTGTATCCACACTAATCCGTATTAATTTTTCTGTGTTGGTGTTGTGTACTCAGGTGAATAATATGTTTGCGATGTTACTCTGAGTGCATATCCAGACCGGGCGAGCTTGAAAAATATGCCCGGCCACGGTGGGATTCGAACCTACGACCTTTGGAATACTGGCCCAATGCTCTTCCAACTGAGCTACGCGGTCAGGACGGTTCGAGTAAGTGATATTTCGGAACCGTATCTAGTTCCTTCAATACCAAT